ATTAAGTGCTATTTTGAGCCATCCCTTATCCCTTGTGCAACAAGGTTTACCAGGCTGGCGAAATAGTGTGCCCGTTATTTCAGGACGTATTTGTGTGCACGTGCCCCAGAGATCTTTGCAGCGGGGCTTCCTTTGGTTCAAAGGCCGTCCCAGTGGTCTGTAGGCTTTAGAATGGGGACAGAATCAGAGGGCTTGATGTCTTGCAGGCCTGGGCCACAGAGCTGCTCAGGCTAGCGCCGGGGAAGTGCACATAAACCCCAGCACTTCTCAGCCACTGGCCGCCTTGCCCGGGCTGGGGACTGAGTGGGCCACAGAGAGTCAACTTCCCTCCCCCGATGCAGCTGGGACACCTTGGCCAAGGAGAGTGTTGGAAGAAGCTGGCCCTTCTGTGTCCTGGGGAGGAAGAAAACTTCCCTCCTTCAGGCTGCATCAGCCTTTACTCGAGCAACGACATTCCTGCCCAAATGATGCATTGCTGCGAATGCTTCCAGGGCAGACCGAAACGGCCCCATTGCTGGTTCTGCAGCATCCCAAGGAAATCAGGCACTTGGAGAGGGAACTGGGCTTGCATTTGTGTTTGAGGGATCAGCACAGCAGTGCTTTAGTGTCCTCTCGTTCCCTGGTGCTGTCAAAGAAATGAAACCTTCTGGATTGGCTGGAACAGTGGTGGGTAGCCTGTGGCCTGTGGACCCCTTGTCTGTCTCCCTCCCTCTTGCACACAGGGGCACCAGAGCTCGCATGTCCTACCCTCTCCCTCCCTCCCAGCAGTTGAAGCACCACAAATCCACTGATTGGGTTCGCGGCATTCCAGCTCTGGGAGGGAGGGGGAGGAGCAGGGCGAGAACGTGCATCAGGTGATTCATGGTGCTCCAAAAGTGTGTGGGGGGAGGAAGTGCAGGGCTCTGGTGCCCCGTGCGTGAGAGGCACATGGGGTAGGTGGGCAGACAGGAGAGCGCAGGTGGCACCCCAGTAAGCCGCAGGCTGCTGCAGCCCATTGAGACTGAGGAGGGCCTCTCCTGTGTCCTACTCACTCTTCTTGGCTGCCCATCACTGGCCTGGAACATTTGCACTGGAGAGGGGTAGAGAGCATGGTACTCAAGTCAGGGGAGTCCTCCATGGCCACAGAAAGAGCTCTGGCCTTGGGATTCAGGTCCCTCCCAAGGGGCCAGCTGCTGTGGGGTGGCAGAGGGCGGAAGGCTCAGGCGAAGGCAGAGACAGGAAAGCTGGCATTCTAGAAAGGTCTCCACAACACACCTAGCAGTGTCCCTTGGGGTGCTGAGCTATTTAAAATCCACTGCTGGTCAAGGCCCGGAAGCACCATGGGGAGACTGCAGGGATCTCCTGCCGGGCCTAGGAGGCTGTCCAGGTGTCAGGAGTGGGGCAAGCAAAGGCCACGTGCTGCACGGTGCCCGAAGGAGATGATCAGAGAGTTGGGTGGGAGCGGAACAGTGAGATCCCAGCAGATGTTAACAGCTGGGAGGCAGATGCATGGAGGGGAGGGGCGACACGGAGGCATGTTGGAGTGGGCGGAGGTGGGGTCTGTGCTGGGCTGAGAGATGGCCATGGTTTGGGCGGAAGGCTGGCAGTGTCTGAAGGTCCCTCCTGTCCCTCCTGTCCCTTCCTCAAAGCACAGCAGGTCTGTTCCCATGGGGCGCTCCTAGTACATGGTGCAGCCCTGTCAGGAAGTGTGTCCTGACTCATCTCCTCACACCTAGTCCTGCTTCCTTGAATTGCTCACACTCGGCCACGGCAGGGCCAGGTGCTTTTACTATTTCCAATCAGATGAGCCACTGGATTCTTTTTCCTCTTCTCAGAGCTTCCCTTCAGGTGGCTGATACCTTTCTGCTAACAAGTTTGCACATCTGAGCGTGGCCTCCTCCCTGCAGCGTAGAGAAAGGCAGTGACCACTGAGCCGGCTGATGTGTGCAGCCCCCATCTCTGATCTTTCTGGGACTGGGTGGGAGAGACTCCTCCTTGGGAGGGATGAGTCAATAGGTGCTTGGTGTGCTGAGCAATCAGGGCTTTTCCTCCAGTGACCTGTCGATGGCCTGGCATAGCCACATGTTGCAGCTCTGCTGCATGGCCCAGTATCCCCTAGGGTACCATCTGCAGGGTGTTGCAGAAGAGTGAAGTGAAGCAAGAACACACCCTATAAGAAGGTGAAAATCCCATGGGCTTCCCTCTTGCTCACTGGGAATAGTACTTCCTAGCCACAGTCGTGTTGTCCAGTTGTAAGGTCACTCCTGGGAGTGGAGAATGACCTGCATCTGACAGTGGTCTGCAAGGGGCTGGTATCTTATGGGAGAAGCACATACCAGGACCTGCCTGAAAGCTGCTGCTCTCAGGGAAACTGAGTTTGTTTCAGAGACCATTCATGCATTCATTAGTCAGCAGCGATCCCTCTGTTTTAGATTTTGTCCCTTCCCCCTCCCCAGGACCTCAAGCTGTGGCAGGAGATGAAGTAAAACGCTAAAGTTTATTGCAAAGTTCATCTCTGAATCGTGCTGGAACTTGTGTGTGTTGTGTTGGCAACTTCAAGGGGATGCTACCTGGTAATTAATTAGGTGTCAAGAGACAGCCCAGAGGTTCTTGCTAATAGAAATTGTCTCCTGTTACGCTGTTCTCCACAGCTTGCCTCTGTTTGTGCGGGGCTGGAGAGAGCCCAGCTACCCATGGGAGTCTAGCTCAAACCTTTCCTTGGCCTCCCTTCTGCATACGCTGCGTCTTGCCTTGGGTGGAACATGAGCCCTAGACGCAAGGAGCCCAGTCTTGGAGCCTCTTTGTCAGCCATGCCGGATGCTGCTCTTGCCCTGCCCGTGAATCCTGCCTCCCTTCTCCCTTGCCCTCTTCTTGCTCTCACCAGCCCCTGGATCCCCTCCATATCCCAGAGCGCAGGTGTCAGTCCTCTCATTTCGAATGCCTGCTCAGGGCTTACTTCTGCCATGCAGCCCCTAAATGCCTTTCTTCCCTGCCACCCCCCACCCCCCGCTTGGCACAGCACCGCCCTCTCGTCTTTGACAGTCACCCTTTCCCTCCCAGACCTCTTGGCTCCTTTTCTCCAGGCTCTGACTCAGGGCTGCTTCTTACAACCCCAGCCCCTCCCAGTTACTGACCTCACCTGTCTCTTGCCTCCTTCCTTGCAGCATCCACGCACACACTGCTCTCCCCCTCCCTAAAGGAGAGAGTACCCTCAGCCCCACCTGGTTCTCCAACTGCTGTCTCCTCTCCCTTCTCTCATGCACATCTAAGCTACTGTAATGGTGCTGCTGGCCAGGCTCTTCGAACGGCATGGCAGGCCCACTGCCCTGTCTGGTTCCTGCCCTCGCCGCTCTACTGAACCGCCTCTTGCTCGCTGAGGCTGCATCTCAAGGAGAAAACCTGCCCCAGAGTAACACCTGCTTGGGCTCCAGTGATTGCTCTCTGGCCAAGTCTTCGGTCTTGTCTTCATCCTTAGCTTCCTTGCGCTTTGTACAGCCTTCAGAACTGGTGCTCATACGGTCATGACCCTGTGCTCTCCTGGTGCCCTGTCTCGTATACACCCTGTCCTTGGGCAGCCGCAGCCTTCAGAACTGGTGCTCATACGGTCATGACCCTGTGCTCTCCTGGTGCCCTGTCTCGTATACACCCTGTCCTTGGGCAGCCGCAGCCTTCAGAACTGGTGCTCATACGGTCATGACCCTGTGCTCTCCTGGTGCCCTGTCTCGTATACACCCTGTCCTTGGGCAGCCGCAGCCTTCAGAACTGGTGCTCATACTGTCGTGACCCTGTGCTCTCCTGGTGCCCTGTCTCGTATACACCCTGTCCTTGGGCAGCCGTAGCCCCTTATCACTATGCTAATGACTCACAAATGTATTTCTCTGTCCTGCCCAGTCCTGCATATCTGTCTGTCTGTGACCGCTCATCTGGCTGGCTGGCTGCCAGCCCACACGCCATTCGGCCTCGCTGGGCTCCTTCGTCCAAGAACACCTTCTCCTTTTCTGCCACCCTACTCTGCAGGGAGGAGCAGCACCAGCCCCCAGGTGCTGGAGGTCCCCAGGAAGCTTGCCTCTCACTGGGTTGAAATGGACGTTGAGTTCACCTGTATCCAGACAGGGCTCCCTCACTGTCTGCCTCATGTGGAGAGCTCCCCGGCCGACGCGCATGCCAGGAGAGACTCACAGTGGAGGCGGGTAGCCTCTGTTGGAAGAGGAGTCCAGGTCTCGGGGCACACACAGTTCTTCAGGCCTGTGTGTCTCAGAAGCTGCTGTCTCTGACCAGCAGAAGTTGGTCCGGTGAAATGCTTCACCTCCCCTGCCTGGCCCCTAATCACCTGGGCCCATACATTACATCTGCATGCTCCTGCCATCACATTTCAAAAGAGCAGGACAGTTGAGGGGCCGCCAGTACCAAGCACAAGGAAGTAGACACCAAGATGTCTCAGACTTGTGAAAGCTAAAAGAATTGCTGCTCTCACCTTGCCATGCCCTGCACACAAAGAGGGGCCAGGTCCGGGCACATAAGAACAGCCACACTGGGTCAGACCAAAGGTCCATCTAGCCCAGTGTCCTGTCTGCCCACAATGGCCAATGCCAGGTGCCCCAGAGGGAGTGAACAGAACAGGGAATCATCCCTCCCCTATTGCCCATTCCCAGCCTCTGACAAACAGAGGCTAGGGGACACCCTCCCCCGCCCATCCTGGCTAATAGCCATTGATGGACATAACCTCCAGGAATTTATCTAGTCCTTTTTTGAACCCTGTTAAAGTCCTGGTCTTCACAACATCCCCTAGCACGGAGTTCCACAGGTTATCTATTCACTGTGTGAAGAAGAACTTCCTTTTGTTTGCTTTAACCCTGCTACCTATTAATTTCATTGGGTGACCCCTAGTTCTTGTGTTATGGGAATAAGTAAATAACTTTTCCTTATTCACTTAACCATACCAGTCATGATTTTCTAGACCTCAATAATATCCCCCCTTAGTCTCCTCTTTTCTAAGCTGAAAAGTCCCAGTATCTTTAATCTCTTCATATGGGACCCGTTCCACACTCATCATTTCTGTTGCCCTTTTCTGAATCTTTTCCACTGCCAATTTCTCTTTTTTGAGACAATGAGGCGACCATATCTGTAAGCAGTATTCAAGATGGGGTCGTGCCATGGTTTTATACAGAGGTATACAGTACTACAGCTGTGTGGAGTGCTGCAGCTGCAAAATATACAGTGTCAGTGGGGTGCTCTCGCAGCTCCGAAAGCCTGCAGCCTACCCTCGAGAGCACAGGCAGCCAGTGGTGCGCCCACGTCACTGCTGCTTTTAAAATTCAAGGCCACATGTTCTTTGTATTTGTTTGGGTGTAGGAGCAATTATTCCTGAAAGATCCTATTGCTTCTAAGCTATTGTTGCTGAGATGGCTCTGTAAGCGTAAGTGGCATTTTACAGGCAAGGTTCCTGCCCGGCCCTCGTGCTCTGGGGGGAGGAGGGGCGGAAGAGGGAGGTCTGGGTGAAGGATGGGAGTGCTCCATGGTGCTCAGCTGCTGCTTCATGGTTCTGTGCTATTTAAAATCCACTGCTGGTCAAGGCCCGGAAGCACCATGGGGAGACTGCAGGGATCTCCTGCCGGGCCTAGGAGGCTGTCCAGGTGTCAGGAGTGGGGCAAGCAAAGGCCACGTGCTGCACGGTGCCCGAAGGAGATGATCAGAGAGTCGGGTGGGAGCGGAACAGTGAGATCCCAGCAGATGTTAACAGCTGGGAGGCAGATGCATGGAGGGGAGGGGCGACACGGAGGCGTGTTGGAGTGGGCAGAGGTGGGGTCTGTGCTGGGCTGAGAGATGGCCATGGTTTGGGCGGAAGGCTGGCAGTGTCTGAAGGTCCCTCCTGTCCCTCCTGTCCCTTCCTCAAAGCACAGCAGGTCTGTTCCCATGGGGCGCTCCTAGTACATGGTGCAGCCCTGTCAGGAAGTGTGTCCTGACTCATCTCCTCACACCTAGTCCTGCTTCCTTGAATTGCTCACACTCGGCCACGGCAGGGCCAGGTGCTTTTACTATTTCCAATCAGATGAGCCACTGGATTCTTTTTCCTCTTCTCAGAGCTTCCCTTCAGGTGGCTGATACCTTTCTGCTAACAAGTTTGCACATCTGAGCGTGGCCTCCTCCCTGCAGCGTAGAGAAAGGCAGTGACCACTGAGCCGGCTGATGTGTGCAGCCCCCATCTCTGATCTTTCTGGGACTGGGTGGGAGAGACTCCTCCTTGGGAGGGATGAGTCAATAGGTGCTTGGTGTGCTGAGCAATCAGGGCTTTTCCTCCAGTGACCTGTCGATGGCCTGGCATAGCCACATGTTGCAGCTCTGCTGCATGGCCCAGTATCCCCTAGGGTACCATCTGCAGGGTGTTGCAGAAGAGTGAAGTGAAGCAAGAACACACCCTATAAGAAGGTGAAAATCCCATGGGCTTCCCTCTTGCTCACTGGGAATAGTACTTCCTAGCCACAGTCGTGTTGTCCAGTTGTAAGGTCACTCCTGGGAGTGGAGAATGACCTGCATCTGACAGTGGTCTGCAAGGGGCTGGTATCTTATGGGAGAAGCACATACCAGGACCTGCCTGAAAGCTGCTGCTCTCAGGGAAACTGAGTTTGTTTCAGAGACCATTCATGCATTCATTAGTCAGCAGCGATCCCTCTGTTTTAGATTTTGTCCCTTCCCCCTCCCCAGGACCTCAAGCTGTGGCAGGAGATGAAGTAAAACGCTAAAGTTTATTGCAAAGTTCATCTCTGAATCGTGCTGGAACTTGTGTGTGTTGTGTTGGCAACTTCAAGGGGATGCTACCTGGTAATTAATTAGGTGTCAAGAGACAGCCCAGAGGTTCTTGCTAATAGAAATTGTCTCCTGTTACGCTGTTCTCCACAGCTTGCCTCTGTTTGTGCGGGGCTGGAGAGAGCCCAGCTACCCATGGGAGTCTAGCTCAAACCTTTCCTTGGCCTCCCTTCTGCATACGCTGCGTCTTGCCTTGGGTGGAACATGAGCCCTAGACGCAAGGAGCCCAGTCTTGGAGCCTCTTTGTCAGCCATGCCGGATGCTGCTCTTGCCCTGCCCGTGAATCCTGCCTCCCTTCTCCCTTGCCCTCTTCTTGCTCTCACCAGCCCCTGGATCCCCTCCATATCCCAGAGCGCAGGTGTCAGTCCTCTCATTTCGAATGCCTGCTCAGGGCTTACTTCTGCCATGCAGCCCCTAAATGCCTTTCTTCCCTGCCACCCCCCACCCCCCGCTTGGCACAGCACCGCCCTCTCGTCTTTGACAGTCACCCTTTCCCTCCCAGACCTCTTGGCTCCTTTTCTCCAGGCTCTGACTCAGGGCTGCTTCTTACAACCCCAGCCCCTCCCAGTTACTGACCTCACCTGTCTCTTGCCTCCTTCCTTGCAGCATCCACGCACACACTGCTCTCCCCCTCCCTAAAGGAGAGAGTACCCTCAGCCCCACCTGGTTCTCCAACTGCTGTCTCCTCTCCCTTCTCTCATGCACATCTAAGCTACTGTAATGGTGCTGCTGGCCAGGCTCTTCGAACGGCATGGCAGGCCCACTGCCCTGTCTGGTTCCTGCCCTCGCCGCTCTACTGAACCGCCTCTTGCTCGCTGAGGCTGCATCTCAAGGAGAAAACCTGCCCCAGAGTAACACCTGCTTGGGCTCCAGTGATTGCTCTCTGGCCAAGTCTTCGGTCTTGTCTTCATCCTTAGCTTCCTTGCGCTTTGTACAGCCTTCAGAACTGGTGCTCATACGGTCATGACCCTGTGCTCTCCTGGTGCCCTGTCTCGTATACACCCTGTCCTTGGGCAGCCGCAGCCTTCAGAACTGGTGCTCATACTGTCACGACCCTGTGCTCTCCTGGTGCCCTGTCTCGTATACACCCTGTCCTTGGGCAGCCGCAGCCTTCAGAACTGGTGCTCATACTGTCGTGACCCTGTGCTCTCCTGGTGCCCTGTCTCGTATACACCCTGTCCTTGGGCAGCCGCAGCCTTCAGAACTGGCTGGCAGTGTCTGAAGGTGGGGCAGTGGGGCTTGGTGGCAGCAGGACAGGTTGAGTTTGGGAGATGGTACCTGAGCCAGAAGAATGGGTGAGGCCAAGCCAGAGAAAGGAGGCAAACACTCAGATGTGCAGCGCTTGGGATGCCTGTGGCCATCAGAGCGCCGGTTGCTTTCGGTGCTTGCTGACCCCTCGCGGCACTTGACTGATTCAAGATGAGTTGGGTGTTTGAGGCAATTTCGGTCATTTTCTTTTTTAGCTTCTCCAGATCCTCAGGCCCTGCAAGGGACAGTCGGGGCAGCATCTGTCCTTTTCCAGCCAGAGCCTTTGGCAGAAAATGAGATTGACTTGGCCCCTCCCCAGCTGTGGCGTCTGGCCTTCCTGCTGCAGTTGGGTTTGTGTAATGGGAGAGGGAGAGAAACGCATCCCGTTGGAACGGGTTTTAAACGTGGATGCAGCAGACATGGCGGCTGTGGCTGGTTGCCCAGCATGGCTTGCAGAGAGTACGTTTTGATGAACAATGTGGAACAGCCTCCCCCTGGTCATGTGTCCTGTGCAATTTCCACCCTGCCCCATGGCTGTGCTGAGCAGGCGGGGGCATTCGTGCAGTGCGCCGTTGGCCAGCAAGACTGGCTCGGACTCGGGCTGAGTGACTCCAGGTTGTCTTGGCTTTTTCTCTGTAAAACATAGTAAATCAAATGCTAACAGGCCGTTTCCCAGCACCGCATGAAGTTCCCCAGCTGAGAGTCAGGACTCTGCACTCAAGTCTGTTTTCTCTGTGAGTTTCGTGTGCCGCTGTGCAGGAAGAGGGGCACCCCGTGCCGACTGCTGCGCGGGAGCCTCACTGCATTACTGGTTTCTTCGGCCTGGGAGAGATGAGGCAGTGGTGTTTGGCGTGGCAATGAGCCGTGCAATATGCCTTTTGTCCCCTGGCCACGCTGCTAGGTCTCACCGCTCGCAGCTTCCCTTCCTTCCGCTGCTTGCGAACTTGGGATTTACCTTGAGCTCCTCAGAACACACTGCACTAGCCCTGAGTCAACACAGTGCTCCTCGCGGGGACCTGCTGTCTACACCAGGGCTGGTAATGTCTGGCCCCAGTTCTGCCAAACTTGGCTCCCCACACGCAGCTGGGCTGCCGGGACAGTGTTACATGGAGGGTGGAGCAGGCACATAGCCCTCTCCTCCTACTGTGCCTTCAGGAAATGGAGCTACAGCAGCTGTATGTGTGCATGATCAGTGCCCCCTCCCTGGCCTCCTACCCTGTCCAGCCCCGTCAATGTCCGCACCCCTATTGTTCTGATTCAGCTCTTCCGTGTCAGGGCAGGGGCCCAGCAAATGCTGTGTCTGCATCTGGGTCCTGGGAGGAGGGGCTTGGGTGAGAACAGAGGGAATGGTTTTTCCCTTGCAGGCGCCCTGCGAGTTCCCATAGCTTGGTCCCCTCCCTAGGTGTGCTTTCGACCCCCAGCCCAGCTGGGCAGGAGTGACTGAGAGCCAGCCAGCTGAGCTGAGTGTTTGGGACAAGTAGCAGAGCTGTGTGTGCTGCTTCCTGAGAGCCACGGCTGCAGAGCGCTCCCCTCCAGCTCTGTTACCTCTCTGGCAGGCTGGTGAAACCTGCTCTCCAGCAGAGGACGCGGGCTTTCCGCACAGTGGGAGTCCCCTGCGCGGCAGCGTTTGTCTCTCCCCAGAGTGGCAGCTGGAAGTGGGCTCCTGGTGTCGGAAAGTGCCAGGACCGCTGATATCTCTGGGCTGTTGCGCAGCAGCTGACCACCATGTGGAGGCTTTCTCCTGGGGTCATTCAACTCCCCGCCACAGTCCCACCCTCTGTTTTCAAGGGCATTCACAGACTACATTCCCTGCCAGGCGGGGCCATGCCCCAGGGGCCTCTGGCATTCCCACTCTGCTCTGCTTTGCTGCACAGTCGCATGGCCCTCTCCTTGGGCCTGACACGCACGGCGGCTGCCCAGGTGGACAGCTGTTATTTTTAGGGAAATATTTCAATTGCTTCAGCTGCTTCTCATTAAGAGATCGTCCAAACTCCCCAAGTTCCCTGCCATTCTGCCACTGGGCTTAATGGGGGAGGGGTGCAGTGCTCAGAGCAGTGGTATGTGAATGGGGCAGATGATTCGCAGAGCACTGCTTTTGTTTTAGGAGAGGAGCCTTTCCATCGTGCTGCTGTGACTTAGGTATCTGAGTCTTTGGTGCCTGTGCATGTTGCACTGTCATTCCGTGGGCATCGTGCCGTTTTGCTTAGTAACCTCCTCTGCTCTGCTGGCTTGTTTTAGTTCGGGTGTCTCCGAGGTGGTGAGAGCAGCATTCTGTGAGCAATGCACTCTGTAGTGTTTTCACTTCGCAAAACCCCATGAAAATCAGCGGAGCAGCCATCCAATTCCGAGTACTAGCCTACAAACACACGCAGCCTGCTGGAATTACACTGCACCCACAGACACACATTAACTCAGATTTCATGCTGCCACGCCCCTTAACTCTCCCAGTTAGTATGTTTCTCAGCTCAGAGGTCAGCCCCTTTGATTTGCTCCCCTGTATTCAGTGGGGTGAAATGACAAGGCTAAGTCCTCTTGCTTTGGGGGCTGAGGAGGGTCTGTGTTTTTCCTGGCAGAGCGGCCTTTCCTGTGTTCAGTGCCAGTCTGCCGTTGAAAACCATTTTAGTTCTTTTCAGATGCTACGTGTTACTGAGCCAGGCAGCCAGTTTCTCCAGGGCAGGCTCCCAGTTCAGTAAGGTCTGGATTCAAACTGGCCAAGCTGCTTGTATTTGAGTCACTGAGGATAGGAGCAGAGCCACTCTGAGCAGTAGCCAGGTATAGCCACTTTCCTGGCTTCTGTGGTTTTGAGCTGCTGAAGTGAAGTGGTCTCACCAACCTCAATGTTCTTATCCAACGTTTCCTAAAAGAGGAGCAGAAAATTCCCAAGTCTTTCATCCCCATTCAAATATCACCAGGGCAAGCAACCGGGGAGCTTAGAGTGGAATCTCAGTTGACATTCTCTGGAAAGCAGACTTCACAGAGTCAAAGTATTCCGTGGCTTAGCCTAGCCAGTGCCCTCTGCATGGATTTGGCCTGCGTCTGCACCTCTTCCCATCCTGGGCAGATGAACAAAGGCTGGAGAGGGTGAATCACAGAGTCTGCCTGAGGACCCCTTGTGCTTTGAAGCCTTGGCCCTTCTGTGAGAGATTTAAATGACAGACAGACATCTAGAGATCCGTAAATACATGCTTGGTGCCAGCTAAACCACAGAGAAGATACTGCGTTTGTGGGGCTGGGAGGTTCAAATATTTGTGGTCAAACTTAAAATTTGACATAAAACTCTCATCTGTGATGGAAAGCAGCCAGGAACTGCACAGAGGATGCACAAGCTGTGCAAACTCTCAGAGACTGCTTCCAGATTAGCTCTGCCAGTACGAGGCAGAATGTTCTAGCTCCTTAACTGCTGGTTGCCTCCCACTGCTTAGGTCGTAAGTCAGATCTCCAAGGGATGCAGCAACTGGGGTCTGTTTCCATAGGCAGGACTCGACCATGCTCTGATTGCTACTGCCACTGCTTCGTGTTCTGCAGACTTCCAACAACCTGGAGACCCAATGTCATTTTCCTGCCAGACTGAGAGTGTACCTTCCCGCTGCCCCTGCTGGCAGCCTCGAGGCCACATCAGCTGGGGGCCTTGCTCATCCCTAGAGCTTCATTATCCGAAGATGTTGGGAAACAGAAATGAGCTACTTCATTTCAGGCCTCTCCACACACTCTACCAGGCAGGTCGCAGCTGGCAGCTGGGACCTTCAGAATCAATTCCTGGCCTGAACAAGTAGTTCTGCCTTCAAGTGACTTGCTCTTCTAGCTTTAGTGACTCCCTCAGAGGCAGCAAGTGTCTGTTGGGGATGCAGGAGTCCCTTTTCCCTTGCTGAGCCATTCTACCTCCACCAGGGAGCCTGCTATAACCCACTTTTGTATCTCTCTTGCAATGCCACAAACCAGCACATGGACTCAGAACTAGCCAGGGAAGCACATTGTCCTAGTGCCTGAGAAGGGAGGGAACAGAGCAGGGAAAGTCTTTATTTCCTGGAAGTAGCTCAGTCCAGGTGATCAAATAATGGCTTTGTCAAAGTCAATCTGAGTAGAGGTCATGAGATCTGTCTTCCTTCACTGTCTTTCCCCCATGCTTCAGCTTGGGATCAGGCATGGTCAGGCCTTTAGCACGGCTGGTAGGGTAGGACAAGATGTGGCAGACGGCTTTTGCTGTTACTTTCAGTTGCTTGAATTCTCTCTCTCCAGTAGAACCCTAAACAGAAAGCTCCCATGACCCGTGGATGTGTGTTGACATCCATAGCACTTGGCAGGGCAGCATGGTGAGCGCAGAGCACTCGAACCCTGGCTTCAGGTATCTGGAATGCAGGAGAGAACGTGGAAGGGTGTGAGACGCCCCCTTGCTGAATGGATACACAGTGGCACAATGGGCTGAGTGCCCCATGTCTGATCGGTACACAGCCAGAGCTACAAGGACGCTGTGGGGCTAAGGCACGTGGCTCCCTGCACGCTCTTACAGGGAGTCCTCAGGCCTGCTCTTCACACTCATCCAAACGTTCTGTACAAGTTTCCCACACTCCTAGCGCCCTGCCCACCCGTTGGGAGGCCATGTTTCCAGTGTATTGCCATAGCTGCTGATTTGAGATGCGTGGCCAGCTGAGCGAGGCTTCACCTTCGCATAAGGTATCCTGATGGACTCCCTTTGCCGGGAGGCCCTTCTGGAGTGGGAAGCACCTGCTGGGTGGGGAGCTGAACTGAGCACTGGCCCAGGGGAAACGGCAGGAAGAGTTGGAAATGTTGGGATTTGGTCTGGGTGGCAGGCTTCTCCAAGCTCCTGGAGGCCATGCACTGGAGGCCTGTGCACAGCTTCATTCCTGGGCAACAGAAAGCGCTTGGAAAGACATCTAGAGACACCACCTCCCACACTCCAGGGGCTGACCCTCTTTGGCACTGTGCCTCCCCCAGGGCTTGGTACCCAGCAGGGACCCTCTAAGATTTTCCATCTGTGAGCAGAGGGAGTCTTGTCTTGTGCACCAATACTGAGGCCAGGTGCACCGTGGCACCCACCAGGTACTAGCACATACCTTTTATATCTTCATTAAATGTTATGGAAGAAAGATACTAACGCAAGGGATAATGAACAACTTGAAATAACTTCAGATGTGAAATCCAACAACTAAAGTAAAACTGCAAAATTTTCAGCAGCCACGAAGGAAGCTAGATGTCTGCCAAACCATGGGAATTACAAATCTGTTCAGTCTGACGTGTCAATTATATTGACTTTCCTGATAATGTGACGCAAAATCCTGCAAGTGAAAACACATTGGGCTTCTTCACTGTCAACATCAAAGAAGCTATAATTATGAATCAAGAGAGATACTCCAGCTATTGCTCTCCTGAGCAGTGCATCGCTTGATATGTGTGTTTGTTTAGTGCCCTCATACATCTGCCTGCCTCCACTTCACACACCCACACACACCCCTTCATTCATTGAATTTTGTGCTGGGGATCGAGTTTGCATCTCCAAGTCATATGTTTCCATGATTATAACTGATTTTGTAAGCAAGTAGTTTTTAAACTTGGAGGTACACAAGACAAATTAGACTCCTTAGTGGGGGTACACCAGTATTGAAAGGTTGCGAGTCATTGATCTTTGGGCTTTTAAATTTGTGAGTTACATACTAAATGGTTTGTATTCTGATTTCTTCAGCTGCTGTATCTAGGACAGCCCTGACATCTATTATAGTTGCATTGCTCTATACTATATCTGCTCATGTTGTGATGAGTCAGTGGATTATGAGTGAAAAATATACTCAGAAAAGATACTATTTGTTTTAGATCTTTGTATTTTGGCTATTTGGAAATGTTGCATTAAAAGTGTTTAGATTAAATATGATTTCAAAAATGTAAAGGCACGCAGTCTGATTAAAATGAGTGAGCTGACTAAGTTTGACATAATAATTGAAGAAATTCAGCCATTTTTCTAGAACCAGTTCATGAATTACAGATGGTTAATTAAGGCAAAGAAAACAGGGCAACTCAAACCACGGTGTCCTTGTTGAAGTGCAAGTGTTGACCCACCTGCCGGATCTGGAACTGGGACCGGTGACATGGCCCCAGCCGGAGCAGAGAGCAGCCGCCTGCTGCCACGTTCCCCCGCCGGAGCTGGAACCACGGCTTGTGAGACTCTCTCTGCCAACACAGAGGGGGCAGCTGCCCACCGCCACGTTCCCCCGCCGGAGCTGGAACCACGGCTTGTGAGACTCTCTCTGCCAACACAGAGGGGGCAGCTGCCCACCGCCACGTTCCCCCGCCGGAGCTGGAACCACGGCTTGTGAGACTCTCTCTGCCAACACAGAGGGGGCAGCTGCCCACCGCCACGTTCCCCCGCCGGAGCTGGAACCACGGCTTGTGAGACTCTCTCTGCCAACACAGAGGGGGCAGCTGCCCACCGCCACGTTCCCCCGCCGGAGCTGGAACCACGGCTTGTGAGACTCTCTCTGCCAACACAGAGGGGGCAGCTGCCCACCGCCACGTTCCCCCGCCGGAGCTGGAACCACGGCTTGTGAGACTGTCCCTGCCAACACAGAGGGGGCAGCCGCCCACCGCCACGTTCCACCGCCGGAGCTGGAACCACGGCTTGTGAGACTGTCCCTGCCAACACAGAGGGGGCAGCCGCCCACCGCCACGTTCCACCGCCGGAGCTGGAACCACGGCTTGTGAGACTGTCCCTGCCAACACAGAGGGGGCAGCCGCCCACCGCCACGTTCCACCGCCGGAGCTGGAACCACGGCTTGTGAGACTGTCCCTGCCAACACAGAGGGGGCAGCCGCCCACCGCCACGTTCCACCGCCGGAGCTGGAACCACGGCTTGTGAGACTGTCCCTGCCAACACAGAGGGGGCAGCCGCCCACCGCCACGTTCCACCGCCGGAGCTGGAACCACGGCTTGTGAGACTGTCCCTGCCAACACAGAGGGGGCAGCCGCCCACCGCCACGTTCCACCGCCGGAGCCTCCACCACTCCCCCTCCATTCCAGCAGGCGAGTGAGTGGTGGTGAGTTCAGCGGCAGGGTGGGCGGCCCAACATTTCTTTTGCACGGCATAGAGGGACCGCTGGTTCCCACACAGCAGAATGTCTGTGCTGACC